GGGCGGGTGCTGGGTGCTCAGCGGGTGCACGAGCCTCCCCTCACGGGCTAGGACTGAGCAACGGGCCCGAGACGCCCTCGCTGGGCACGGCCATGGCAGGCTGAGCCACGGGAGAGGCGAGGGGGCGGCTGGCGTCCCCGCTCCCTCCGGTCATTGCTTTGCAGATGACACTGCACCCTGTCATCCACTGCTAGCAGGATGTGTCTCTAAGAACCCACCAACCCCAGGTCTCCAGCTTGATCCCCTCCCAGACTCACCCCAGAGAGAGCCCCTAGCTCTGTCCAATCCTGCATCCACTTTTTCCGTGTTTTTCTCAGTGACACTTAGCTTTGTAGGACCCTGAAGTCTCAAACCATTAGCAGGCAATAAAACCGGGCAGCTGAGCTGAATAACACCCCTTAATCCCCTTCCAGGATGAGCGGAGGAGAAGAGCCCCGGCGAAGCTGAGGAGCTTATTCTGAGCCGAGTGCTTTGGAGGCTTTGAGAATTGCATGGTGTTGGTATTTCATGAATAAATAACCCCCAGCAATATCTGTCACTGAATCTACTTCATTAATGAAGGCCTGGAACAAAGGCGGAGGGGAGGATGGAGAATGGTGGGGAGGTGGAAGAGAAAAATATTTGCAAGTGAACAGAGGCAATTGCAGGCGGTAGGAAACGGCAGGGGCTGGGTGTGCGTGTCCTGCTCTGTGTATGAGATTGTGGGCGAATCGAGCACCAGAAATTAGGTCCCTTGCTCCAAACTGCCCTTTTCAACAAGCTCTCCCAGGCGCTTCCTGCCTCCATCCCTGGGGCGGGTGGGGAATAGTGGGGATCCCCTGGCGTGCACGATCACGCTGGGCTCCTTGTCGGGGGCGCTACAGACCACGGGCTGGGGCGGAAAACCAAGGAAAACATGGAAGAACTGGATGCAACTGGATCGCTGGGGAGGCGCAGAGCGCGGGCTGGGGCGGCCGGCTCCAGCCGAGGCCACGGGGAACTTCCTCCGGATTGCTGGGATGCTCCAGGCATGGCACTGACTGGGAAGCCCGGCTCCTCCATCTCGCCTTGTCAGAACAGATCCAGGGGTCACTTGATGAAATTCACTACGGATAAATGTAGAACAAGGGAAATAGATATTCTTTTGAAGGCAGCTCATTACTGCAGGGAAAGTGATTCATGGATCAGGCCCGTCCTAATCTCGTGTTGCTGAACAGAGAGGGCGGGTTGGGGGCGGTTTCCTCTGGCTGACGGCTACCAGGGATGCTCAGATGCTCCTATCTCTCCTAAAGTGTCCCCAGGTTGCCAGTGCTGTCTCCTCTCGAAGGGCAGCGCTGGCACCGGGTGGCTCCGTGTTCAGTTCCCGTATGGTAACTCCGCAGCACCCTGATCCTAACGCACCCAACGGCTCGCTCGGGTGCCTCGGTGCTGCTCCGTGTTTTGCCCGTGGTGGTCCACGGTCCCTAGCACAGGTTTGCCAGCGAGGTCCCCATCTCCTGCTGCTTTTCCCCTCCTTCCCAGTCTCCAGGCTCGTCCGCTCCGCCGGGAGCGGCAGCAGAGGGGGCTGGACGTTGCGGGGCGGCAGCGGTGGAGTCGTCACGTTCCTCTAAGCAATTCTCTGCACTTTAATGAACAGCACTTTGGGGCGAGTAAATAATATGTCCTTCCCCTTCTCTCCAGCAGAAATATGTGCCCTGATCTAATATATTCTGTCTTTCTCACTCCCTCGCTCCGGAGGAGCTGCAAACTCTAGTGGGAACAGAGCGCTAATAGAAGAAGCCTCTGAAGGTGTTGAGACACAACCAAGAAGGGACAGAGCTAGATTCAACTTCAAATACACAGGGAAGTCTAGGAGATGGGCTGAGAAGAGGGGAAGAGCTGCCCCACGACCACCCAGGGGCAAGAGTTTATTGGGAAGCGGTGACCGGGGTGGAAGTGGGTGGCATAGGCAGGAGCTCGTGGCTCAAAGTGGTACCTTGAGGTGCCCCCTTGCCGCTGGCCCTGCAGTATTTTGGCCGTTGGAAAATCTGGCCCTGGGGTTGCCTGAAAATCTGTAATTTAGACCTAGACCCATGCAGAGCCTTATTTCTCTGGATTTGCTCCTTTTGGCAGTTTCTAGCCCCTAAGAGTGCAGAGAAAAGCTCCAGTGTGCCCTAAAGGCCCAGAAAGCAGAAGGCGAATTAAAAAAAAAAAAGAAAGAAACCCTCAGAATGATTGATTGATTTTTAAAATCTCATCAGTTTCGTGCCAGTCTCATTATATTTCTTTTTAATGGCTGACTCATGCTTTTTTGAGCGTTCGGTGCTGGCAGCGCTGCACGAGGGGTAGCGCATGCGGCTGCGCGCGCCCGGGTCCCTCGCTGCTGCCTTCATGGAGCCGCTCCTGGAGAGCCGCCCCGTGGTCCTCAGGGCTGCTGAGCCTTCAAAGAACAAAAAAAGAAGAAATGGAGAAGAGCAACGGGCCTCGAGTCATTGCACAGCTCTTTGGGCACGGCTGTGAGGAAATGCTGGAGGGAGAGGAACAGGCCGTTCATGGCATCGTCCTCGTGGGCAGTGGTTATTTCCAGTTTCATGTGCATAAAGATCTAACAAACAGGCGGTGCAGGTCAAGTCTGTCTCTGTCGCTGACTCGCTCTGTGACCTTGGGCAAATCACTTGTGCATCCGTTGCTGCTTCTAAGAGGGTGATGGGATCTGGTGCCCAGCGTGGGTTGCAGTGATCAGTTAACATATAAAATGTGCTCTGAAGATGAAAGTTGCCTCCGAATGCTTAAAGCTCTCGAGAAGCATCTGTGTCCCCTTTGCGGGAATCAGGCAGCCAGAAAGCACCTCAAAACTGTGTCACAGACAAATCTGCTGTGTGTGCAGCTCGGAGAGGCAGGGCTGGGAGTTTCTCGAGTCTTTAAATGATGTCCACTGAACTCAAGGGCATTTGTGCTTCTCATTTGCCTAAGGAAAAGGTTGGAAAATGTGCAAAGTGCGCTAAAGTCTGCAAAGTTGTCTAAGGCTGCAGGTGTGCAGTATTGCACAGCTGTGCTGCAAGAGGGCATGGACGCAGCTGGGGGCAGAGCTGGGTTCAGATCCTGCCTTGTGCCCCCTGGTCCAGGGTCCTTCATCACCTTGAGTCGAGCACAGATTGAAGCTTCCACTTTCCACACTCTGGCAAACGAAGCCACATTTCTTGTGGCTTTACATCCTGAGTGGCAACCTCAGGCACTGGACAAGCTGCGTGCGCTCACCAAAGGTTTATTTATCTCTAAGACATTCATAATAAAAGCAAATATCCATAATCCAGCTTTTTGTATTCTGTGATATCTAGTATAGTTTTGAATTCCTACACAAGTCCAGGTCTTTTTCAGTTGCTTGTTTGCATGAAAATGGTGGAAAGTCAGTATCTCTGAACCCTCAGGCTTGGTTAATTTCCATCAGAGATGTCAGTTATGCAGCAGTGTATAGCGTAATCAGAAAGCCTTCATGTTTTGGGGCAACTCCTTTTAACAAAGTTTAAGGCTAACCAAAGCGCCATGATGTTGCCCAAACAGTCCCTTCTAGGGCAGAATTTCGGCCCTTCACGTGCCCTGTGCCTCCCTTTCCTTCCTATCTCTAACGGTGCCTTTTCTCTCCAAGGGAAGAAGCGATGCTGTCCACCTACTTTGAAACCATCAATGACTTGCTCTCCTCCTTTGGGCCCGTCCGAGACTGCTCCCGCAACAACGGCGGCTGCACCCGCAACTTCAAGTGTGTTTCGGACCGCAAGGTGGACTCCACGGGCTGCGTGGTAGGTGCCTTGTGCGGAGGGTGATGCTGCTGCTGGGGGCTCCGTGGTTGGGCACGCGGGCCGAGGACTCGCCGCCTCCCTGCGCTCTGCAGTGCGCAGCATCACGTGTGGGAAGTTTGCGCTAAGACAGTCAAGAACGGAGCAGTAACCGAGCAAGCAACTGCTCAGCCGTGTTCGCTCGGGCTTAGGTGTGTACGGGACAACCGGAGGACGATGCTAGTAGCCGCTTTCCTGCTTCCCAGGGAAGCACAGGCTGAGAACAGTCTCGTTTCTGCTGCTTCCTTGTGCTTCCCAGCGCTGGTGCCGCACGGTGAAGAACTTCCCATCCTCTTCTGCATGGTCCCTCTCTGCAACCCGCAGTGGTTCAGTTCATTTCCAAGCCCGCTCCTGTCCTCCCCCTGCTTCCCAGGTTTTGCTTTTGCCCTCCAGAAGGCCTCTTGGGCCGTGGAGCACTTGTCCCCGGCAGAGGCACGGGCGGTCCTGCCGTGCTCCTCGCCTGCACACCCACGTTTCTGTAAGGACATATTTCTATACCTACATATGTTATAACGTGCAGGGCCTCTGCGCCGCAGGGGTTGTGTTACCAGCACCGTTTCTGTGACCTGTGCTTTGCATGCAAACACGTGCACCGTGATCCCGACCCCCCAGGGCGACCCCCATTCTCCTCCCAAGCTCCATTTCTCACTGTGGCCATATCCCCGACCACCCCTTCTCTCCTGCAGCTCTGCAGAGGCAGGAGTTAAGTGTCTCTTTATTTATTGAAGATGTTTATACACGGCAGCCTGGAAAGGTCAGGCTGGAGTGGCGCCGTCTCCAGGGTGGCTTTTTCATTATCCCCTTCTCCGCTTGCTTGTTAAGGCCACTTAGCGCGGCAGCCTGACGTGCCGCAGGCAGCGCCGTGCAGCAGTCCTGCTGCTCGCCCCAGCCCTTCCTCTTTCTCCCTTTTGTGCTTTCATTTTCCTTTTCTTTCATTCTGGCCTTTTCCAGGGAGGGGCTGTTTCTTTGTTGTTTGTGTGTGTGTGTGTGTGTGTTCCCCCCCACGGTTCTCTTTTTTTGTTCTTTTTTAGTGCCATTTTGCTCTGAAAGCTAATGTGCCTCCCAGATACTGTCAGAAACAATCGGGGCCCTGATTGCCCTGTGCTGCTGGGAAGAGACGCCTCTTTTTAAAAGTCAGGATATATTAAGATAGAAATTGTCAATAAATTACAGGCCTAGCGTTTGCCACAGCGGCGCACAGAGCAGCAGAAATTGAAAACTGTGTCACTCAGGGAAAATGAGACCCCTCTTCCCCCCCTTTTCTATAATGGCTAAATGAGGCTTTATTTAAAGGGAACAAAACACAGGCAGCATGAAGGCTGGGGAGGGAAGGACAGGGCTCAGGTGAGCGATACCGTGGGGCGCATCCTGCTCCCCGAAGTGCCAGCAGTGCCAAGAGCTGCAGCTCCGGGGTCGCCGTTCGCACGGTGTCTCCGCAGCCTCCCGCGTCTCTCCGCTGGGAAGTGCTGGTGCAGCTCCCCAGGAATCGCTGCGTCCACGAGACCGAGGAGCTCAGACCAAGAGTACGTCTGAACTGCGGGGTTCCCTAGTCCATCGCTGTGGCCTGGGAAACAGTGGATGGAAATGTGGACGGTTAGTGCCAGCCACCACCTTCCCATGCGAGCGGTGGGTTGTCCCCGTTCCTGGCATTGAGCGGCATCTCTGCTGACCTCGCTGAGCCGTCTGCTTCGGGTCCTTCTGGATAGGGGCACTTGGCCGTTTTGCTTTTCCTAATCCTGCCCCTTATGTTGAAGTCTGCTGGGGTGAGAGCTGTCTCTGCCGTGCAGGGAGGGATGGGGCCCATTCCCTGCAATTTTGCAGGGATGTCAGTTATGTTTTAAAGCTGAACTGCCGTGAACTCAATTTGCCAATTTGGTAAGTGCTATAGGCAATATTGGGATGTAATTTAATTAAGCTATCCCCTTTTTATAGAGTTCAGGGAGCATTCACGTACTAATTTTAGCACAAGGTTCGTTTCAGCTTTACTCAGGACACTGTTTCTCAGATCATGACATGTTGTTAATCTTAACCAGTCAAGAGTTTATTAATTTGCTGAGAACCACAGAAGTATATAAGCAGTGGTTCATCAATCAAGGCTAAATCCAACAAATGTTCTAGGCAGGTACTGAGCATAAAATATACATGCAGGCTTGTAAGCAATTAATACACAGCAGAGCCAGAGCCTCGCCGCTCTACCAGGGAGCAGCACAAATCTCCAAGATTTCTTATTCCTTTTATGTATAATCATCATCAGTTACCAGTTCCTTAGTGCCCCTAATACAGCTTCCAGTAATTCTGCAAGGATTGAGGCTGCATTTATGTTGAGGCTTTTTAGCAACGTGCTCTCTGCCATTACCTAATTGTCTGGCCTTAAAAGGACTTGTTTAAAATGTCGAGGGCAATGCTTACAGACATTGTTTGAGTCCCTCTTAGGGCAATCCCCTCGGGCTTACAAGCACGTAGCTTTGCTTGGTTGAAATCCAAAGCTGGAGGACCCCAAGACCCTCCGGGTTGCTGGGGAAGGGGAGAAAACGCAGGCCCTGAAATGTCATCCCGATACTGCGGCTTCTTACGAGGGCCCAGGGCTGCCCTTGCGGAGAGGCCGGGATGGGGTCCCCGCGGCTCCTGTCCCTCGTGCAGGGGGGACAGCTCTTCTGCCTCCATCCCGCGCTCCCCTTAGGGCTCTTTTTCTCTTCCTGGGGCTTTTGTGCTATTTTTGTTTGCACCCAGTAGATGGCATCGGTGCATAATAGATTTCTGCAGCTCTTTTCTTATCGGAGGCTTTTTTATTGTTTGGTTAATTCTAAGAATTGTTAGTTGGAGTCCTGTTCTATTAACTGGAGTTCTGCCAAGGTCATTACTTGGAATTACCAAGTGGGATCTCATCTTTGAGCCGTAAATTTCCATGTAAGAATATTCAAGCAACAGAAGTGCATCCGTTTCAGTGCTGCTTTTCCTTAGTGTGCCAAAGAATTGCTCTGGTGTTTGGAGAGTGACCGGCATTTTAAAAGAGAACGAAATCTCAGTGAGCTTCTCTAAATCTGGCAGCTCCTGTGTGTGCATTCCTTGAGTTGGATGCATGAGTCACAGCATCTATAAGGGATCACGGCAAAAAAGGGGATGCTGCACCGGAGGAACAAGTCAGATTATTGCCAGTGCAGAACTGTGTCGCTGATCCCTTCAGCTCATCCGTGAGGGAAGAGGTGCTGAAGGAGCCCAAGGCCTTCACCAGCATGTGTTGATGATTTGCAATTTGAGATGAAAAGCTGTGAAGTGGATTTAGGGGAGTGAAGGAAACACCTGTGAAGTGGCTTAAACTCAGGCTTCCCCGGCTGCCTCTTGGCTTTGGGTTCCTTGCGGGTGCGAGTGCTCCCTGGCAGCAGTTCCCCTCAGCCCGCCTGAAGGAAGCAGGGTTGCTGGCCAAGGAGAGCTAAGAGAGGCCCTTTGTTTTTTTTCCTAAGGAAGGCGAGTTTGGTTTTAGACCGTGGGCTAGTTATGGGGCTGCCTAGTCCTCCCCTGGGGGGTTAGGAAGTGCTTAGTGGCTCCTGCAGGCCCTGAGAAGGCAGGAGCTGGTTGTTAGGGCTGCTGCTGGGGAGGCAGCAGCAGGTACGGGGTGA